CCCTCAGACAACTTTCTAAATCGCTTCTTGAGTGTGTTGTTGCTAGTTGGGGTCATATGAAACATTCAGTGTTGTGTATTTTTCTATATACAGCCTCCAGTTCTCCTTACTATGAAGCACAGGTGTTTTTGCCCAAATCCACCACCGCAATGTACAGGTTTGTAAAAGCTGTATTAATACATTTTACAGCTCCCAGCGCCATCTTGAAAGGTAACCGTACCTTTGCATCATTTGATACGGGAGTTGAGTGTGCAGCGATAGAAAAAAAGAAGGACGATGCACCTGTTCAATGTTCTCGGGAAAATGTTTGGCTCTTTGTAATTTATTCAGACCTCGGCTGTGTTTGCTCCGATATGACCACGCTGGGCCAAATATGGGCCCCTCCCACTCAGCCAGAAAGTACATCTGTAATAAAGTTAACACCCGAAAATAAGAACCTAATGGATTAAGAACCTCTTGGCAAAAATTTGCTATTTTAATAACCCCTTCAATAAGGACCTCTTTAGCCAAACATTATCTAGCAGGTTCTTATAATATGGGTTAGAGTTAAGATTGCAGGATAAACAAACCACAAGTTACTCAATTTGAAGACGTTGTGTACAAATACATTTACTGAATTTACAGCTGTACAGTTGATCGTTTACTCGTTACAGAAGTTAAAAGTTACAGTTATACATAATATTATAGCATTATATAATTTTAGTCCATATCAAGTGATCTTTAAAAAACGAGTAGGAGTGTTTATATCTACGATAAAAACACGAACGAGTTTTTTAAATAACTTCTAAAACCCAAACCTAAGAAACTACAATATTTTAGTTTAACATGAAATGAATAAAAAAAATATCAAAAATGAATAATTGATGAAGATAGCTCCATCTGAGCATGAGCAGTAATCAACGTGGTTTCCCACACCCAAGCGCCACTATGTTTTAGTGTACTATGACTTTGCAATAAGTATTTTTCAACTTGAAACCTAGTAAAGTTCTATGATGAGAGTCTAAACCTGAAAACTTTTCTAGTGTTGGGCACACATTTTAAAAGTGTCTGCAAATCAGTTACAAGATTGATGTTTTATGCATGAGTGTTTAATTAATCAGTGTTTTTAATTAATATTTCAAAAACTCATACATAATGAATGAGTTATTAGCCCAATAGAATGAGCCTATTTGGTCACATCACTGGAAAAAATCGCGCGCCATAAAGGTCGTAAATTTGATGGAAATATGTTGTAAGTAATTTGATGGAAATCATTTACATCAAATTTACATCATTTTGGACACTTAYMWYAYATATACAYCAAATTTACAACCTTTAAAGCGCGCGATTTTTTCCAGTGCATGCATGGACCTTTATATCTGCTAAAACACTCCTTATTAGTATTCTTTATATAAAGAATACTAATAAGGGTGACCTTTATCAGATATAAAGGCCCATGACCCTAGCAAAGGTCTCAGTTTTGATACCTCACCATTGACCAATGCAGGATGTCAAGCGATTGCAGTAAAGCAGCCACAACGTTTCTATTCTACCTTTTGCGTATTCTATGTGGGATGACAAGAGTGCTTTGTAAAGTGATTCGCGCATGATCAGCTTGCCCCATTTATCTCAAACTTACTTTTACGGCAATTTCTCCAAGAATTTTAACAGATTTGAGTTTCAAATTGGTGTTGGAGTTTTTGAAGCCGTTTAAAACACTCGAGATCGTGTTTTAAACTATACATAATATATATGCAAACAATAACAACTGGATCCCCCTATTAGCAATTTTAAAGAAGCTAATTAAGAACCTGTTTTGCCAAAATTACCAACAACTAACCCTTAAAACAAGAACCTTTTTTGCCAGACTTTCAAAAAACAAGGTTCTTATTTTCAGGTGTTTACTGTATTTCAAAGTATGTTGGGATCAAACTGACTTCGTGGGTAAATCGTGCAAATGCACAAGAAACGTTTGTGCCCTCGAAAATATCTCGATACAGATGGACCTCAGTAATCGTAACTTTTTTTGTTAGGCGGATCAGCACCGAAAACCCAGCCTATTGTCAACCCAACAACCAAGCCAACCAAGCCGAACGATCCTGAGACTATACTATTCACCGTTGTATCAGTATCAGCAATTGCTGTTATTATTGTTGGATGTATTGTTATGAGATACATACGTCATCGACCTCATCATCCACCTGATCCACCTGATCCTCCTACATCTAGCTCATCCAATAGTAATCCCCAAAGAATACACAATAGTTCATCCAACAGTAATCCGCAAAGTTCATCCAATAGTTCATCCAATAGTAGTCCTCAAAGTCAGGTAACCATCGACGGCGTTGTCGCGAATTTTTCAAAAAATTTGAATTTGGTTTGCCATCCGAAACAAGATCGGCTAACATCACATGCACTATCCCTGATTTTAAGATCATTTCTGGCGCTAAGGCACCGTACTACGACCAGCAAAATCGTACAACTTGTCTCGCAACATTGCTGCAAAACAAGTTGGAAAGCGATGTTGCGCGTTTTGATTAAGGTACGGTAATACGAGCAGCAAAATCATACAACTTGTCTCGCAACATTACTGCAAAGCAAGTTGAAAAGCGTTTTACTAGATAGCGGCAAACCAATTTTTTTCGCAGCAAAATATTTTGTTGCAAGTTGAAAAAAATTGCTGCAGAAAGTTGAAGATGGTTCTACTTTTTGCAACAAAACTCGAAGATGTTGCCCGTATTACTACATCAACACAACTTGTCTCGCAGCAAAATGACGTCGCGCGACAATCAGCTAATTGCATTGGCCAATCAGAAATAAGGATTTGCTCAACCTGCATCAAATTATTTTCATGCGAGACGATTTGGTTCGCCAGTAGTAAAACGCGCAGCATCCCTTTCCAACTTGCTTTGCAGCAATGTTGCGAGACAAGTTGGACAATTTTGCTGCTCGTATTGTCGTAGCTTTAGTTTTGACATTAAGATCTTTTATTGAAGACGGCGCAGTCGCTTTTCCAGTTATGTAAATAGGCTATTCTTAAAGCGTGGATTTCACTAGCGCATAAGCATAGGCATAAACACAAAGCACGAGTCATATGCGCCAGTGATAACGGGCCCAAAATAAGCATAAGCATGAGTACAAGAAAAACGAGCAAGGCTTGATCTTCTTTGGTATATCTCATACTTATCTCATGTTTATGCTCAGTGAGAACGGGACTGCATAGGCATAAGCATAGCCTGGTACCGAAATAATACGCTCGTGCGCATGTTCAATGTCTTATGCTTATATCAAGCCCGTTTTCACTGGCGCATATGATTCTCATGCCTGTGCTTATGCTATGCTTATGCGCTAGTGAAATCCACGCTTAAATACACATTTTCTCTACACAGTCTTCAAACCAGACATCGCCCTCTGCATCCTGGCACTCCGCTCTTTCGTCTTTCAGTGCGGCACTAAGTATCGCAAGCTCACTATTTGGTCGTAGATCCCCAAGACCTAAGACTTCGTCAAAACGCAAAGGTAAGCTTTGTTAGCATAGTCTCGTGACTCTCTCAGTCTCGTGTTACAATGTCTCGTGACCGTATAGTACTTGTTGCATTGTGCAATCATAAATGCGAGCACCCAACCTCCCTGAGTATTTATTTGTTTGAGAGAGGAGGCAGACAGCAGGGTAAAATGGAGGCAGACGGCAGGGTAAAATGGTATTTTATGGTGAGATCCATAAATAGGTAATAATTGTTTTCGGTAGAAGTGTGTCCACTAATAAATTTACTACGATATTAGATTTGCGCATTAAACTATAACCTATGTAAAGTAAACTGTTTTGTCTTTTATTTGTTTGACAAATTTCTCATGTCACGGAGAAACATATTACCCATTTCTGTTGATTATTGAGTGACTTTAAAAGTAAAAAATCTGTATTCAATAAGCACATTATTTCGCTGCTTCGATATAGTTATCAGATTATTGCATTGTTGACATTGTTAATACTAGCTCGTAGCGTCGAGACAACATTCAACGAGCCATCGCCGGATGACGAAAATGCACCGCTGTTACCGAAAAAACACAGGTGAGGACTTGTCGCACTCCTAAAAACCATGGTGTCTCCAGAGAGTTTTTGGACACAACTCGCATTTAAAAAGTTATATACACCACTCTTAGAACAAAGATTTTGATTTGATGAAATAACAAAGAGAGATCCGAGCGACAGGCAATACAAAAAGCAAAGATGTCCAGTAGAACAATAATCCTACAATTCTTTGCTTTGTTTTCTCGATCAATCACAAGCTTCGTCTGATGGTGGTGACCGACCCCATTTATAGGAAAAACACGTAAAATGTCTCAAAAGCATTCGCTAGAATCTATTCCTCATTTAATTCAGACTTATTAGTAGTAAAAATCGGACTTCCACTTTTAAATCATCATCCCGCCCTTTTTCAAAAAGTCGTAGTTTAAACATGAACCAAGAATTGACTTTTAAAATTCCAGTCAGACGGGAATAGCCTCGTTCCTTAGGTAGAAAACATTGGGATTTGCCAATAAATTACACTTAGATTCGAAGCTAAGCCCGCTTGCACTTGCCTTTTGAGACTGAATAGTTACATTCGATAAAAATACCAGTAATTTACGATTTTTACACTTCTATACATCCATACCATTCACTGACATTCACTGGATGGAAAATATAATAGCCGAGTTTAGATGTTTGGTTCAGTGACCATGCACAAAAGAATTGCAGACGAGGCTCCGGGGAAATAAAGAATAAATCAAGATTATCCATTGATAATTTTATTTTTTTTANGTGGTCGTGGTAGTGATGATCGTGATGATGATCCAACGAATCAAGGACGGTGGAACACACAAGAAAGGGGTCAACCCAACTATTCTACCAGGGATACAGTGCCTTGAAAAACATAGAAGACGCATGTACAGAACATCAAGATCAAGGTAGGTTCATACAGCACAGTCCAAACCACTTCATTGGTCAAAATTAAAAAAGGACGGCGAAAAGTTATTCAAAGAAAACACACAAGTTTGCTCATTYAGTATATTGCAAAGTATAATTAAAATAAATAAAAACATGTTTTACGTCTAGATATTCGGAGTCGTCGCCGACTCTCCCTAGCCAGTGGCTACTGTTATATAASACTAGCACTCRYTCACGACCACTACATTGAATCTTTTRKCACACTCACAGCTAGTTTGACGAGACAAAAAAATGGATAATACGAGCGAGAAAAAAATAATGTAAATAGTAGGTAATGAGAAAAGTATAAAACGGAAGAAAGAAAGAAAACAAAGTAAATACAAACAAAATGAACCCACCTCTCTTTCTTCAAGTGACAAGAGTTCTACCCCTGGAGTCCCATTTAAATCTAATCTTGCAGCTGGCCTACGACCTAGTCAAACAAKAAAAGAAAACACATCGTGAAAAAAAATACTGCCAAGSCATACAGGAGGAGTAAACAAGAGTACAGCAAACATGTCAGACAAAACTGAGGAAGTGCAAAGAAAGACAGGCAGAGACACAAGAGACTATCACTACTGTACATACCTAGGCTTGGTAATGGTATKGGTGCCAGACTTTTCCCACATTCTCTGTTTAATTAAAKAAATCTACGTCAAACAATTACATAYACGTAATAAAMGAAAGAAAACAGAAGCAAGAAAATCAACATAACGTAATTGGAAAMTACGACAAACCACTAACAGCAGTGCCTGTCTTTGCAACCACGCCTGACAAACTTTCTGGTCCTGAAACAGTAGGGTAAATAATATTGACTAAAATCACAATTACATGTAGTTTTATCTAATTAAAAAATGTAGTGTAAATAATAACCGACTATGAATCGTGAGTTGGAACATATGATGTCAAGACTTTTGTTCCAGAATTGACACTACAAGGTACTACAACCCAGGCAGTGAASACACTACAGCCTCAWSCAGTCTCACTTCATCTAGCCATCAGAAGCAAGAAACGTGGTCTTACCCTAATGTGTATYAAAACATCATCCACTAGTTTTCTTTTTCCTAGGTCTTCTTCATGCTTCTTTTTCAACTTCTCAAACACTGCCGCACCTGACATGATAAGGG